TCTGACTTTTGCTTAGGTGTCTTCAAGAGCCTCTTGACTCCTGAAAGTACTTCAGGAGGTTCAGACCTTTCCTTAGTTGTCTTCAAAAGCCTCTTAATTTCCAAAAGTTGTCTGACTGGCTCCGATTCTTGTTGTAGTTTTTCTTCTTCCATTCCCATTATATTTCTTTCATTTAGTGATACCACTAAATTATCATGAATGGGTATTTGTGACACTTCTTCCAAGGCTGGGGATATTATATCTTGATTGTGAGCTCTTTGGCTTGAAATATTAACATCCAAAACAGACTTTTTTTCTAACAGAAATAGAAAAATGATATAGTAATGAAACTTCATTCACTACATTAACAGAAATACTTAAATGTGAAGAAATATTACTTAAAATAATTATATATTAGACTCTTTGTATGTTTTAGAATGAAACAAAAAAATGTAAAAACTAAATTACACCAAGAATATTAAAAACAAATTAAATCAAATTAAAGTAACTGTTGCTCATAATGAAAAACATATTATAATTGGGATTTATCTTAAGCAAACTGAGTACCTGAAACCTGGCAACTTCTAAGTAGCAGAATGACCAAAATCTACAACCATCTAGGAAACCTTCTTCCAATCAGACTAGTGTATGTTTATTCCACTAATATAAATTGTGAAATCAAATACAGAAACAGTTGTATTTCTCTAACCTGAGATCTAAATTTGAAGCCATTAAAACTGTTGCACCTTGAATGAATCTGTTACCTCAGCTGGCTAATTATTTCATTTTCCCACAAAATATATTTACAGGGTTAACACAAGGAATGATAAATTATGTCCTGTTTTCATTATCTTGTTTGAATAAGACCATATTCAATATTTACAACTTGATGCAGCTCAGTGACTTAATAACCCACTATCATTCTCGGCCTTTGCTAATCTGGTTTGTATCCCTAAACAGATTACTCTTCTTACTTAAAGCAGCACAGTAGTTAAAGCAACACCTGAAATTCTGATAGGGACTGCAAGGAAAGACTGACCTGAAATTTCTACAACAATAAAGGAGCTCCACAGAGCCTTAACAGTTTTAGAGAGGTCTTGATGCAGGTTTCCTTCCATTCTAAAAACCAAACCTCATTGATTTGTAGTACTCTGGGATTAATGACAAAGTAACTTACGTTAAATGGCTATATGAAAGTAATTATTCAGAATGTATAGACAATAAAACATACCAAATACTTCTGATGAATGTATTTCTGATATCTGAGTTTCTGGTATAAAACTTTTCTGTTTTCCATCCGATGGACTGCAGAACATTTCAGCCAACCCTGCAAATAGCATTTAAATCTATTAATGTTCAGTTAGCATGTAATGAAATGCAAGAGCAGATATAACCATAAAGAATATATTTTCTTCACTTGATTGCTCCCTAGATTTGAAATGCAATCAGATTCCAGAATTATTTTTAAATATTAATATTCATAGCATATTTAAAGGGAAAGGACTTGTCACACCATTTACCAGGATAAAAATTCCTCCTTCAAGCTGTTTCAGATTGTGGATACTTTCTATCAAACACTATCTTAAGAGCAAATTCTACTACAAATTATACAAGTAGTTAATTTGCCTTTCAAAATAAAATAAAACTTGTGATTCCTTCTATAGTGCCATAAGTTAATATTAAGTAGATTTCTGTCAAAGTGACTTATGCTTATCAAGTACAATTTGTAACAAATGGTGTGTGCCTATACATGAATGTGTATCTCTCATAGATGTTTAGAGAACAAGGAAGAAGAAGAAGAAAAAAATCATCTTTTCCTTATCCTCTGTTTGATGTCTAAGATTTATTATGACTGCTGGATTGGAAGTGCCAGGCTAGTGAGTGCTACCTCAACAATTCTTCCCATAAAAACACAGCCTTGTTTAAAATGCCATCTTGACCCATGAAAAGCAGTTTTCCCAGTTAAAGAAAAGCTTTGTTTAAAGTAGAATCTTGGCCAATGAGCAATTTATAGTTTTCTATGAATAAAAAAATGAAATACAGGTAGTCCTCTCAACTTACTATTGTTAAGATATTTAAAACTGGACAGTGCATAAGAATACAGTTATAGTTAATTGGTTCAAAAGAGCTGGCCACTGCATGAGGGAATCTGAACTGTGATTGGTTGCCACGGGTAAAAGGGGAGTTTCCTTGTTTTCTGCCTTTTTCCTCTGTGTGCTCTCCATTGATTTACCTGATGATGCTTCTGTTCTTATTTACTGGAAATAAATTTAAGGCTACAAGCTTGTGTCAGCATCTGTTTGGACACCAGATGCACAATTCCCTGACAACTGAACCCATTTTTTTTTTTTGGCTAAGCCTCTTGTGAAGCATCTGATAATACCCCTGAATTAAGACTGAATTGTCTCACAAAGGAAAGGCTTAGGAGCTTGCTTGCAAAATGTCTAACTTCCAAAAAATAGTAAACCTTAACAAACCAAACCTCTTCTTTCTTGCTTCAGTAGAAAAAACTATTTTACGTATCTAGATTACTGATGTTCTGCAAGATGTCAGGATAACAGTGGCATACAAGTAGGCCTGAAAGGCTTGGCATTCTACTTCCAGGCACCCATTTGTATCTACATATAGCTGGACTATTTTGCTGAGGTCCAGATGGCCCACTAATTATAAGAAAACATCCCAATGCATCTGGAACTAGGAATTGGTGGCTAGATATCAAGCTATTAGAAAACCCTTGACTATTCCTAGGTCCAAAAAGGATTAGATGTTAATTGGAGTAAGAACCTTAAAGATCTGCTTGCTTAAAAAACTGAAACTGCTGTGTGAAAACAATGTCTAGGATTCTGTGGCGGTCAATTCCTAATTCCTATCCATTTCAATTATTTTCCCTTTTCTTTGTCTAACTGGCATGAGAAGTGAACAAAAAAACAGCACCAGCAAACTCACATCTAAGGAGTATTTTCCACAACTCAAATAATCATCAGTGTAGAATGCTTTTTATTTTGGAAGACTCAGTAAGATTTGGGGAAAAGAATAAAAATCAACTGAGGAGCAATTGCACTTTAATCTTTGGTATTTATTAGGGCAGCCCCTGCTGAAATGCTCTCCAAAACATCAGGCACAATGATAGTCTCTTCAGTTAAGCTTCCCCACAGGGAGAGGAAGTTACTTTTCAAGCTCTTGAGAAAACAAAGTACTTGCATCAGCAAGGTAACTTAGCAAGAATTGCTTCTCTGATCCACAAGTATGAGACTACATGTAACGCTATAACAGGAGAAAAACTGATGTTTTCTATTGTATTCTGTTATCTATAAAACGTTCTAATGTTAGAAAAGAGAAGATCAGCTACAAGGTGGATGGATTCAATTGCAAGTGTTGATGAATGCACCGTTGATAGATCAACATGGGGAAGATCTATCTTGTTACTCGAGTCAAAAATAACTTTGTGGCACATAATCAATATTCTATGTGTTGCTTTATGTCCAGGTCCATGTGTCTCTTGGCTCACCAAAACAATTGATAACCTGATTGTCCCCAGCAATAAGGCACGGTAGGTTTCCCTAAACTGACTGCAGGTAATAGGGAGGGAGCTACCTAGCTTAGTATGTCCTAAAAATGGTGACCCAACCACTGGAAAATTCTCCAGTAAATCCAAGAAAAGTGAGATTTCTGGGTCTCAGAAATTAAACTGCCCAAATTAGACAGAAACACAATAAATTAAAAAGGGGGAAAGATAGCATTTCTCTTACAACATGTGATCAGGGGAAGCAAGGCCACAGTATATGGCCCACCATTGTCTAATATTTTACCTCCAATAATTCAGTCGCTCCCAATAGCATGTTGGAAAGCAGTTCAAATGTAATTAAATGACTTTTAATTAAAATCTAATTGTGGATGGGGGGGGGCTGTTTACATGGATGCTGCCTTTGGTAGATTTAATATAGATAGTAGATTTAGTGGATTTGATATAACTTTACAAACCAACTAACCTAGGGTATGTAGTGCAATAAAGACAGAGTGGTCATCATAAAAAAACTATGTCAGTCTTACATTGAAAGTAATAATACTTTATTTAGCAAGATGTGCAAATATTTTAGTTCAATATGGTAATTTCAAGAGTTCTGATTGTGAAATAAAGCTTGGTGTTTTGTATCATTTTGAGTGTTTCCACTGATCTCAGCAACATTAATCAAGCTGTTTTACAGGAGGCTTTTAAACATGTTTCATCTACAGTATCAGGAAACCAAGCTCTTGGTTTAGGATGGACAAGGTGATGTGGGAGATAAATGTTGTTACAAAAGGAGTTAAGCATGCAACTCCAAAAAAGAGCTTACTCAGTGCTGACTTAGATAATAATTGGTTTTTTTAAAAAGCAAAAGGGAACGTTTGCAATAGAACTTGAGAGCACAAGCAGCTGGATAAATGGGCTGCATGTATTATATTGCAGCTAAGTAATATAAAGGTGAGTGTGCATGCAAACCTTTTGCACCAGCTTAGATTATATGAAGACCACTTATACAATGATTTTTTGGTTTTAAAATTTTGAAGAACAAGAACATCTCTGCAAATCTTTCTCCGTCTACCAGAAATCTTGATTCTTCCTTCCAAAATGGATCCAGATATAGGCTGCTAAGGGTGGGGGAAGGATTTAAGGCTTAGAGTAGTATTGCTTTCAATTCTAAATTTCTATATTTCCATTACCATTCTTAATAGCGCAATATGCACCAAAGCCGCACCATCAACATTATCACTGATCGTGCCCCTTCTGCTGAGAATCTCTTATTATCAAATAGTTTCTTGTAATTCTCCAGAAGATATAAAGACTGAGTTCAGGCTTATGATCATTTAAACCTCATTTCTAGAACTGGAAATAGTTACACAATGGTCAACTGTATCAGTAAGTATGCTATTATGCTACACCATACTTTGCTAATAGATTACATTCTTACACAATCATAGCACCATCTGTTGGCAAAGCAAGGAGTTGATATATTGGTAACCTTTAAAACTATCAACAACCCATTGTAAATCTAATTTCTCATAGATCACAATTTCTTAGTCAATAAAATCAACCTTGGTTTTATTTCCTCTCTGTAGATAAACATACATAGGAATGCCTGCTCGTTTCAAAAAAAAGGTGCTAATACATCTGAATTTCTTCTGAGCATTAAGATGACCAAATGTAAGAGTATGTGCACTAATATTTAAAAAAACTACTACAATGTGGTATTTCCATTTATATTACCTCAACAGACTTAGGAGCATCTTGATAAAGCAAACTTATCGCATAAATCTATATTATCCGCCCGAAGAACCATTCCGAGCTCACATCATCTATCTGTTAAGATGCTTTGGGGGCAAACGTTTCAAGATAACATTTTGTATACATTTAAGGGATGTCTCTAGTGTGCAGAATGAAAATAATGCTTTTCTGTAATTTTTAAAGCATTTACATAAAGTGTTGAACGTGCAATTATTTTTTCTTGTCTGCACTAAGGCATCCCACTCTGCTTTTTATCTGTTATATAATTATCAACCTCTAACTTAGAAGGGGATGGAACATCTCCCTTATTGTTTCTGGCTATCTGGCAGATGTTATGGGTGCCATCGATCAAGGAACATCATCTTGTGAGTCCCAAGAAATGAACCTTTTCTGTCATGATGCCATTCGTTTAGAACATCATTCCGTCAGAAATTAGACTGGACCTGAATCTTTCACAAAGCTCTGAAAACATTTTTCTGTTCTCAGGTACGGGGATTATTAATTTGAGCCTATAAGATGGCTATGTTAATTGTTGTTTGATTGCTTTTTAAAAAAACTTTGTTGCTAGTTGTGTATTTTACTTTGTTGTTCAGTTTTTAAATTTAATTGCTATACGCTACCCAGAACCACTATGTTGAGATGATGGAAACATGCAATAAATAAATGACATGCTATAAGGACAATTTTCTGAATCTTGAAAAAACTATTACTATTATCATCTAGTTAAATATTATATACTGCCATTATCTCTACAGTGTCAGTTGTAGAAAATAGTTTGTCAAAACATACATGTTTTTTTTCTCTATGACATATTTTATTTTTAAACAGGAAAGGCGAACTCATGTCATTTGGCATGTAAACTTGTATTAAATGAAGTTTACCTGTAAAGCTTTCATTGAGGTCACAATGCTTTTTCAAAGGATAATTGATCACCACCTTAGGAACTTGTGCAGTTATATTCAAAATTCCAGTATGAGCTTTTCCAATCACAATTGGAGCAGGAGAATTTGCATGTCCTGTTGTGAAGTGACCGCTGATTTTTCTTTTAGGTGTTTTTAATGAACTGTTCTTCTAAAAGCAGAATATATTAAAAATCAGTTTAATGAAACATGTCACTATATATACTGATATAAATTTAAAATCCTAGTGATAATAGTTTTACATTTGCATCTGATGGGATAGCTAGAATCAGGCAGTGACGGGCTGCAAAAGGAAGATTGTTGAATTTATATAGGTGAGACACAAGTAGGGAAGATAGTTTAGCAGACTGAAAGCCTCAGAAGTTCAAGGAAAAGCTGACCTGGGAGAAGAGACTGGGAAGAACACTCTTTCATTTCACCCAATACTTTATTATATATTAGTAACATTAAGTGTCCATTAATCAGGACCACAAAGAGGAAGGGAAGCTAGTAAAATAAATTCTCATGTAAGGAGAGCTCTCACATAGACATTGGACAAGGACAGAGAGATGGGAATGTGGAATCAACAGAATAAGTCATAGCTATTCTACTTTTAGCTTCCAACCTTAAACAAAGTCCCTGAAGGGAAAAAACAAAGAATACAAATATTCCTTTGGGGAGGGGGATGTTTCAGAGTGATAAAAACTTAAAAACTAAAGGTAAAAAAATAAAAGAATCAATAAATTGTTCACCAAAAAGAGAATTAAGTTAAAATAAGATAAAGGGCAAACCTTTAAAAATCTAAAGGATAAGGTTTAAATCGGGTACAATTAGTGTTTTTGGTAGCGAAAGGACTCTGAATAGTCTTGAAATATAAGGTTAATCTATACGAACACATAAACGTTAAAATTTGAATTATAAAAATAAACACAATTCTTAAACTTTTTCCAAATAATTTTCTTCTATCAAATCAACTACAAATATTGTCACAAATTTACTAGGTATAAACTTTAAAAATGCTATCCCAAAGGTGGTTTTCAAAAGGCAACTGGACTTTCTTGTTTTTTTTTCCCTTGAAAATGTTTTACTTCTTATCCAAGAAGCTTCTTCAGAACTGAAGTGAAACGTTTTCAAGGAAAAAAACCAAGTTCAGTACCTTTTGAGAAGCATTTTTGGCACAATCATGATCTGAATGATTGAGACTCTCTACATTTTATAATACTTCATTTAAATTTTCGAATTACAAGAATGTCTAAATTTGTATTTTCAGTTGGCATTGATTATTACTAATTCATTTGCAATGGTTTTTTGCTGAGAAAATTAAGCAAAATTTTGGCTTAAAGTTCTCATCCTCATAATGACTACAAGTTTTCTTCTTCTCCATACATAATAAAACAATACAATTCTTAGTGTAGCTCCTCTTTGAAGAAGGGGAACAATGCCATCTTTCATTTGCTGCAGATAAATGGGCTGTAGGTCAGTTGATATAATTGTGTGGAGACTAGTGGTCTTATTCAACATAGCACTTTCATTTTAATTATGGTGCCAGGGTCACCCCCCTAGCATTCCAAACCAAAGTATTGATAATCTCATTGGGCACAGTTATATTTGGGCCCTGGTACAGGACAATGTATTTTTACATTGTATTTTTTCCATGTTACCTACATTTCCTTTCAATCTTTTTTTGCTGCTCAAAAGAAACAACATATATCTCAAAAGCTATTCAGCAACTGCCTCATTTCTTTCCCTCATTTCTTTCATAATAAACTGAAACATTCATGTGTTGTTTGAAAAGCAGTATAGTAACTGGAAGGCTATTACAATCGTGCTTATTATTTCTATTGACTAAGAAAAATCAAAGCATGGAAGTTCTTATATAATTGCGATAATTATATCAATTTAGAAGTATCAAATACATTTCATCAACACATTCATAATAAGATGAAATTTGGCAATATCAATATTTGTTAAATATTTTAATCATTTAATATACCTTATCTCAGTAACTAACACTGCTTTGTAAGGCTGCTAGATGCTGATATACATTCTGGTTAATTGATTTCAGGGTTGTTTTGCCTCAAACCTTATTACTAGAAAGCCACCAGTCTTTTGCCTTCAGCAAGGAAAGTGAAATTTTACATTTGTGAAATTTACATTTACTTACATTTACTTCAGCTATTTGTTAGCTGTTTTTGAAGCAATTTTCAAAGATTATTTAGCTTGCTTTAATCTGTGTTTTGAGTGGCAAGCACGGCTATTTGAAATTGCTACTTTTTGCCTACGGATAATATCCATATCCCACTTTTCTCATGGTTCCTAGATATGTTTTCTTTCTATTGTTTATTACATATAATTCATCCATTATTTTCCCTAATTCATTTTAAAATTTCTAAAATGTGTATTCCTACCTTTATACTTCATCATGGCAATTCAGATATTTTCATTCTCCAAAATGTTGCACTAATAGAACATATTGCCTTCAATTAAAAGTAAAAGACCTTAAACTGTTTTAAAATAGGTTGAATTTTTCAAATTACTCCATATCTTCTATTAAAACTATTGGTGATTTTCCATAAATAAAAGGTAAAGCACTGTATCTAGAAATACTAGTCAGAATTTAGGATTAATAAAGTATCAGAATGATCTCCTCAGTACTTGGAATCCAGATTCTTTAAATTGAGCACTGGCGAAAAATTATACAATTATCTGTTTCGGCTATACCTTTGATGATTTTGAAGCCACTTTCTTCACTGATCTTGTTTTAAAGCCCTGTTTTGAAGCAGACTTCAGTTGCAGTTTTGGAATACCTTGTTTCACTACTTCTGCCCAAGACTTCGCAACTAAAACAACAATTGTTGAAGATTATTCACCTTAATCATTTTTAATATCCGATAATCAAATTATACTGTGTTTGAAACATAAAATGTTTAAATTCTAGCAATAGATACAATTGTAACACACCCATCAAGTTGGCTTCAGAAGCACCACTTCGTCTTTTGGAGTGAATAGTACCCATAACTCCACTTTTTCCACGTGTAGAACTTCTTCTTGGAGTACAGGGTTTGCTCCTTAATGATGAAGTGGCGCTGGATACTGTTTTTTTAACTTCACTGAATAAGCTATTCATAGGCATCTCTTGTGTAGTGGTTTCCTCACTCTCTGAAGGCTGACTTGTAACATGAGGATCAGAGATGAATTGTTGCTTCTGGGGTGCACTATGTGAGTCAGCTTGCCTTGACACAATCTTTTCATATTGCTTTCTCTCAAAGGAACCCTGCAGGAAAACAAATAGGTAACACACACACACACACACACACACACACACACACAAATCAAACTTTAGATTTTGGACAAACAACAATCATATTTATTTCCTTCAGAACTTATCAGAATGAATTAAACAATTAGATATTCACAAAAAAAAAAAATCCCCACAATATTTTGTGGCTTTGCTTTTGAAGACTATGAGGATATTACAATTAATCCAGAGCGGGGCAGCATGTTTTAGGTTCCAATAATGGGAGCAAATTACACATACATTGAACAACTTGCACTGGTTACCATTTCAGCTCCAACTACAATTTAAAGTGCTAGTGTCAATATTCTTCATAACTTGGCGCTCGGGTATCTATGGAAGATCCTCCTCTAACCAGATTTTACACAATCAATTACATCATTTAGAGAGGGGCTTTTTGTTTTTTGTAGCAGCACCAAATTATGGAAAGTAGATCCCTCGGATAGATTTTAGGAACTTACTGAAAATGGAGAATGATTTTAACAGCATTTCAGTAATATCACCAGTACCTCTTGTAATTCTTCCTTCTCACTTCAATTTTGGTTTTCCAATTTAAATTGTATTTTTTTTTCATTTTGATTTTTTTACAGTAACATTCTAACCAATAATAGTCCAAAATACTGTGATGGTATAAAAATCAAATAAAATCACACTACTTAGCTCTAAACCTTTTTTCATTTGCCAATCTTTTAATATATATTAAAATTAACTTCTTTTCAAATCTATTTTCAAAATAATAACATTCATCTTTAATTTTATGAAATTATGAAAAGATATGAAGGAGTAGATAAAAAAGGAGAAGTCAGCTATTTTTAGGCATTGTCCCATCTTCATCAGACCAGATCTGGACATTCTGGAGATGGTCAGCAGTTTTTTGGGAAATAAATAATCCAGAGCAAGGAGTGATTCTAGCCCTGGAGCAGACCTCCTTGGAATGCTGTCCCCAAAGACAGAACTTTCTGAATTACTTTCCAGGTATCTAGAAACATTTCCAAGCTCTCCACTTTTCTGTGAAATAATTTTGAGAAATTTGCGTTCTCAAATAAGTATTTAGTAAGCTTTAAAGATGAATGTTATTATTTTGAAAATGCCCCAATTAAAAAATAAAAGTCAACAGTATAAATTCTGATTTCAAACATCTTATATAAAGCTACATTTGTAGGTAATCCACAATAACCAAAGGTGGCTACTTGTATTTCTGCTGGAGAGTTTTGTTTTTTTTAAACAGAATATGAAATATTTACCCAATTTTGTTTTGGGAGTTTCTAACAATAGGGATAAATATTTTATCAACAGATTTATCGATTTTATTCATTAAATTTATTTTCTACCCATCTTGCCATTACACTACTCTGAAATAAAATAGCCAAATTTTTAAATAGAAGAAGCATTCAGGTGCAATATATCACCAACTCCTCTCAGAAATAATTCTAGAGAAATATTTAGGTGTACTAAGAAGTGCATAGCTTACATTCCTCCTTCCCATTCCCAAAATATTTCTCAATTCTATGATTTAAAATTTCTGATCAATTGTTTTAACATAATAATACAGATACATTATTTAAAATACAAAGCTTTCAGTATGAATAGTGAAGTTTAGACAAACATATGTATACATGTTGTGGGATCAAGAGCAATTCTTTGATTCAAAGGTAAATATCCCTAGCAATTAGTTGTTCTGTCAATCAATCCCTTACCTGTATTACAGACTGACTTAATTCTGCAGCTTTTTTCAGAACTGCTCGTGGTGAGTTTCCAAATGGCATACTTAGTCTCGCTGGAATGGCTCCTTTTTTAAGTGGCGAGTTTGGAGGTAAGCGCTTATCAAAGAGTTCAGGACTCAATTGACCACCAAAAGAAACTCTCTTCCTCTTTCCAAGGGATTGGACTAGAAAATCTAGTTCTGTACCTCTACGCTTTTGAGGTGATTTCTTAGCCTCTATAAATGAATAGTAAATTATAGCAAAGTGAACACAATGACTTTCATCATTACTACAATTAAAAAGTTTGCACTCAGAATTGTTTAATTTTAAAAAAATACTATAAACTTTTTACACTTTTGGTATCAATATTTTCAATCATAACTAAGGCACTAACATTTCAAACAACTGAATCTGTTTCTACTAACAATATCAAACAAGCCACTTAACTGACAGAAAAAAATAAGCTGGTAATTTTTTATCTTAACCAAAATTACTGGGGTCAGCAAATAACAACTATAATTTTTTGATATAAATTGTATTTACCTGACTTTTTATTAAGTGGACATAAAGCATTCATTTCAGAGACAGCATTAACCCTGGCTGATGTTTGCACTCTGCTTTCATAAGAACTGGAAAAAGTAGATATATCGTTTTTCATATTAATATTCTGCTCATGCTTTTCTGTTCCTATTTTATTTTCATTTGTAGGACACTTTGTTTCCAAGTTTTTTTCAGGAATCTCATTTGCCATTATTTCACTGGTTTGGGAAAGATCTGCTGGGATTATCGATTCTTTATCTATTGCCTCTGTACAAGAATATTCATTTGAAATAATTTTATTTAGTTCAATGTTATTGCAGTTTTCACTAGTATTAAGATGAAGTGAACTGAAATCAGTACTAGAATTTCCATCTTCTGAATCTTTCAGATTTAGCACTGCTTCTGTAACCAGTTCTCTATTTTCATTTGTTTTAGAAGATATATTTTCAATCAAAATACCAGACTCATGCTCCTGCCCACTAACTTGTACGGGACACTCTTTCATTTCTTCAGAGCTCTTCATTTTGTTCAGAGAATCTCTTTCAACCCCTGTTCTTCTGGACCTGGAAGATCTTCGAGGCTTTCTAGAACATGGACTGGAATAATTTTGAGTACTCTCCTGGCTAGGCTTTGCTTTGGGCAAAGTATTTTCTATAGATGTGAAAGCATCTGTTATGTTAAATTTGTTAAGGCATTTAGCCTTTTCTGTATAATCCAATGACAGTATACATGATTCAGGGAAATGCTGTGCGCTCTGCTGATTGGCTTTAAAATGTGCACACTTTTCCACTTCATTCTCTTCTATGTTCTTAAAATCTGACTGATTTGCACCTTCACATTCTTGTTTCTGTTGCATATCACAATTTTGAGTGCTTGATTTTTCAGATTTCTTCTTTTCGAATGTTGGTATTGGACTTGCTATACCACCATGCTTTCCTTGAATTTTACTATCTTCAGATTGTTCAACTTTAGTTAACTTTGCTCGATTCATTGCAGACCTCCTAGATCTTGAGTGAAATACATCTTCCAGCAAGGTCTCATTACCAGTATTTTCCTTTACATTGCCTGTGCCATCTTCATGTTTCATTAATTCATAAAGTTTGCTAAAAGGAGACAATTCATTTGCTTTTTCAATACTGTGCATTTTGTACTTAAATTCAGGTGGGTCGCTGTATTGTTTTTGAAGTTTCTTCTCATTTCTTCTGGGAGAACAAGTTTCACATTTCTTGCCTACAGGAATATGAAACAGGCAGTTTTTAAAATCTGTTTTCTTGAATAAAGTTAAAATTATTTTTGAATCATTATATGGATAAAGTACTAATCAGAAAGTAATTTTTGAGGAATTAAGCAGACGTTTACAAATCCTTAGAAAAAAGTGCTTCACAGCACACAGGGGTGTGTACAAAACATCTCTTTTCAAAGCAGTCTTCTTTTTCAGCCTCGAGCAACAGCTTTGTAACTGTTCTCAATGGTAACAGCTAGAAACTGTTTAGGAAGCAACTGTATAAATCTGCAAAAATATATCACTTTTTTGGTGATCTTAAAAGATGTGCTTTGGACAGATCTGCATACATTACATTTTACCTCCTTCAAAGGACTTGCATAATTCTATTAAATTCAACAAATCAAAACTTACAGAAGCCAAATTTTATTTGTAACTGCCAAACAATATAGTATAAATATATGCAAACAGATTATTTGCAATTTTGCAAATCACTTACCTTAAACATGGTTCTAATCAGTGAAATTTAAGGAATAGATTTGTTCATAAGCTATTTTATGAAAGTTACTTAATGGACAAGAAAATATATGGGTCACGCTCTAAAATGTAATTTGCTGTGAAATATTGTTTCTAATATAATTTTAAGACAAGCCTGTTTCTCAACTCTTCATTATCGTGGTTTGATAAACTGGGTCACTAACAGGCTCAGAAAATCATTCATCGATGAAACCAAATCCATTCATGTATTTTAACAGCAAATTCCTAATGGCTGCTTTCATTTGTTTTACCACTCACTGGTAAACACATCCTTTTTATTAATAAAGTCATTAATATAATAAAAAAATTATAGAAAAAGAACAAAAAAAATACCAACCAGTAATCGGAGAACTTTTGTAATCTTCGTTTTGTGGGTGCAGCAAGTCCATCTGTTGCATATGCTGAACATGAAGAATCTATAACATTAAACACAATGCAATAGAACAAGGAATTTAATACTTCTTTTAAGCTTTCCATTTTTCTTGTAAAATAACTTTCCACTGAAAATTTCTTAGAATAAATGATTGAAAAGATAATACAGTATTTTTCATCTCTCATCTGAAGCCAAGAGTATTATGCAATCTGTAATTGTCAGGACTCAGCACTAGAATTTTGAATTGAATTTTAGAATTCAATATGGACATCCACTGGGTAAACCATTACTATTATTTCCAAAACTCACGAGCTTTCAAAAAACTAATGGACCCCCTTACTTCAAACTTCTATGTATAAAAACTAATTATTTACAGTGAAAGAAACATATTTACAGTAGTTCTCTGAACATTAAAAGCTGTGCAGATACATTATGTAGAATCTAAGGCTGCAATATAATACCATTGAGGAAAATTCCAATTAAGATTAGATTCTGTACATATGAAAACTAATACCACTTTGTCTAAATCTCAATGATACATTTATTGTCTCCCCTTTCAATATTCCATATATGAAACCTCAGTTCAACAGACCTCAACATAACAAATTACGTAACTAACTTAAGAAATTATGTAACTGACATAATTTAAAATAATGTAAATCAATACTTAAGTCTTCTCCCTCCTCTTAAATGACCCATCAGTTTTAAGTTCATCTTAAGATCTTACAGGTTTGGTCTTTTACTTTCAATTGGATATTCTAACCCAGCTCACAATAAAGTAGAGAAACTATTAATAACCTTTCATAAGTCAAGTGTCAACTTACAGCACTAACTCCCTTTCTTTTTCCTTGTAGAAAATATGAATGACAGACCAAAGAAAATATCTTAATTTTCTAAAGCCCAACACCAAAACTAGATTTTGTGTTTCCTATGAATTATAATATAGTGTGGAATAGAATGACTAAAAATGAAATGTAACTGGTAATGATCAATTACTAAATCAAGTCAAAGAGCAACATACTGAATTATTTATTAATTTCTACATTTTTATTATTGTCCCCTTCTTCCAAATTAAGAAAAACATGGTTTTTATTTTACCTGTAATGTTTCCTTCTCTTGAGATCTAGAAAATCTCTTCTGAGGAAGTGGGGGAGGTGGATATTCAAACCTATTCAAGTAAAAAGATTAGTTAAATTAAAATTAATCCAACTTTAACTTTTCCTTATCAAATTCTTTTAAGATCTCCTTGATTTTTACGTTTCTAAAAAGCAATGGCTGACATAACCTATTTCTAGCACACCCATATTTGCTTATATTATTGTTACATACCTGAAAGAACGATCAATAATTGTAAGTATATCTCCATGTTTTAAGTGTGTGGGATCTTGAAAGTGATTCCCATTTAGCTGTGTTGGATTTGCAGAACTCAAGTTAAACAGCACTGCCTAAAAATACATAGGAATAAAATTATGTATATCCAGATCAATCAATGAAACACAAGTACCAGAAATATTACGACTGCATAACAACAAAAGTAATAATACATACCTCTTTATTTTCATTGACTTCAATTTTACAATGTTCTTTAGAAACTTGAGGAAGCTGGATTCGAATATCACATTGTTTTTCCCTTTAAAATATAATGAAATTATTACAAGGTTATCAGTTCAAATTATATAACTACATGCTCTTCTACATACATCTCTTAAAATATACTGTGATCTCTAAATCTAATTCATTTCTACCTAGTATAACAAGGCAATGCAGCTGTTGCTGAAGATGCATTGAGACAACCTGATTTTTAGGTTGAGTTTTAAGAACTTCTAAAATAAATGGTTAGGTTTTTGATTAGACAAATGTCTTGCATAAATATACATCGAAGCAGATCAAATCCATTATATGTGACATGCGTTGCGTGACTAGAAAAATAATATATATCACAATGAAGGAGTGCAGGAAAGTAAGTTATGACAATACCTAAAACTTATGCCACAAAAAGGACAGCCTAAATCACAATTGCATAAAGAAAATCCTACATAAATAAACCCTTATCAATTTAAAGTCTTACCTTCCAAACAAACAAGAGCTTGCGGTGAGCGGAAAATGAGTTCCATCGGTCCCATTTCTCTTAATAACAACAATTTGCCCAAAAAATGGCATTTTCAATTTGTATATCTTACCTCTAAGGAAAAAATAAAATGAACATTATTGCAGATTTCAGGACAACTTGGTGACCATATGTGGAAAATTCATGGTTGTGTATATTGTTTGCTACCACAACTGAGGTGAAAGGTCCTTTTCTATTTTTTGAATAGAAAAAAAATACATTATATTATGTCTACAAGAAAAATGTGTTTTAAGTCTATAATGGACTTTTGGCTATCAGCATTGTGTCACATCCCCTGGTCATGTGATCTGGGTGCTGGGCAACTTATTTTCACTTATGAAGTTGTCAGGAACCCTGAGAGCATGGGGTCACCATCTACAATCTTCTGATGGCTTCCCTAGAAAGTCAATGAAGACTTACTTAACAGTAATTTGTTTGTTGACTACTTAGTGCAAGTAATTTTTAAAAAACCCAGGAACTTAAATTGTGAAAAAAAATCAAGAGGGAAAAAGAAAAACCACAATAATCCATTAATGTGATGTAGGATTAATGCAGTCTACATGCTTTACTTTGGACCCCAGAACTTAAATTTATTCATTTTATCATCTCACATCTATCTGTATTAGAATTATAGTTAGCAATCTCAATTGCTTTAAATATTAGATAGGTATTATCTTATACCAGATAATCCTCTTAATGTTTTCTGGAATAAGAATGCAATCTAGGACAGAGTGGTGGGTAGACTACATGCTGCTCCCCAATGAACTATTTCTGACAGAATATTCAAAGACCTTACCAGGCTTGGACTTTGAGAATCTGAACTACTCACTAGGTGAACTTGGATTTCAGGCCTCTTGGAGCTGGGAAGATACTTTATGACATCAGAACAAGGGCAGGGGAATTGAGATGCAGGCCAATGTGTAGTATGAGTAACAAACTCATAAGTGATGTCTGATCTTAAGCTTGATATTACCTGCTTGAATTAGATGCTGGGGAAGTTTCCTGCATGAACTGCAAGTTTACATTTCTCTACCTACAGTTGTACCTGTAAAAGAAGAAAAACCATAGATTAACTCAGAAACTGAAGTCTTCTGTAATAAGGAAAAAGCAATAAACCTACTTATTGAAAAACACAATATTTTTCTTACATCTAAAATGGATATATCTATTTGTACTTAACCCTTCTGTTCAACTAGGTTCACCTAGTACAGGATACATACTGTTTTGTTGTGTTAGATTAAAATAGCAAGCCAATCACAGCACCTGAAACATTCTCAGAATAGCTTTGTTTTATATGAAAGTTGGTACAAAACCAGTATTGGTAGAGGACAGGATAAAATCTCCTGTAATGTGGACAAATTACCCGAGTTAGGATCACTGACACCACTAGCTTCAGCTTGAAACATTTGGGAAGTCGATTTGGATGGTTTAAAAAGACCAGTAGCCAAATTCAAGGATAAAACCATTCAGATCTACCTATAGCATTCTTAAGCTAGAGCACTGTGCTGATATCTGCTGGAAAATTTCATTAGCAATAATTGTATACCACATCATAGAAATTACATCAAACCTCGGCTCCACAGCGCTCACCAAAAATGCATAATTCAAAGAACTGTAACAGAGTAGCTGCCATTTATCTCATAAGGCATAAAACCAGTTCACTCCTTTGTTCCCCTTCTGCTTCCGTTTCAAGCCACGATGTTATTTTTTAGATCGTACGTTAGCAAAAATAAATCATTTTCTTACAGTCTTAAGATCTGTAGGCGTCCTGTTAAGGACCACTAGCGAGCTAAACCAAAAAGGGGCCCGTCCCTCCCCCCCATTAAATATCCTGCACATTCATTTCAATTGCCCTCCAGCCTGAACACCACCGCGGACAGTATCGCAGTCAGAAACTCACGGCGCCTCCCTTTCTTTCCTCAAGCCTGGCACATCTCGTTTCCCAGCACCAGCCAACTCCTCTTCTCAGCACCGCTTCTTCCTTCAGCAAATCACCCCGAAGAAACCCCGCCCGCGTTCCCCGTCAACGGCACACCCGGGATCCCCTCTCGCCTCCGAGGCAGCGGCACCACCGCGCGCGCGCCAAATCTCCCCTTCCGCTCATTCAAACCGGCCGACTCCTCCCCGCCCTCGGAGGCCGCTGCAGCCTCACGTGTATCCTTCCGCCGTCTCAAGACTGCGCCGGGCGGGCGTCAATTCTTCCTCCCTGGGAGGGACCGCATTACCTGGATCCCCACGCGCTCATTTGCCGATCCAGACCGTGGACAGCTTCTTAAGCGCAAGTATAGCACTTCTACCACCACCTGTGAATTTGTTTTTTTTTTAAAGCGATCGACGGACTCTGATTGGTCAACTGTGTAGTGATGTCAGGACTAAAGTAATCCAATAGGGAGGGAGTCCGAATGGACTTCAATTTTTAAACATAGGTTAGACTTTTTCCCCCACCCGCGTTGCGATACACTTTCCTTTACTATTTTGAATTGAAGATTATATTGTGGCAATTATGTTTTTTAAAGAAATGCTCAGCTCTGCAATGGATCCCACTCCAAAGGGAGGGGAGGAGGACGTACATGTATCAGTTATCTCATGCTTATCATATTACCATAATGCACTTTACATGGATCTACCCTTGGAAAGCTACAGCTGGTTCAAAAATATGACAACCTTGACACTGGCATTGTTTTCTGGATGCAGTTCAAGATAGCTATCACCTTTTAAAGCTCTTCAGATTATCTGATAGATTGCCTTCTCTTACATTCATCTACCTGTCCAATTAAATCAAATATAGTCAGCTACCTCAAGGTCCCACTCCTATGGGATTATCACTTAATAAAACTTTGGAACCTGGTAATTTCAATAATCTCATGACTCCAGGTATTCCCTCCCAGCAGAAATTCACTCAGCCTTGTTCCTTTTCAGCTTTAGGGAAATTTTGAGGTATTCAGAATTGAGTGATGTACAAACCAACTGACTGAATAAATAGAAAGTAGTTGCTAAATACTGGCATAATAGTTTTGAAATTTTTGACTTTTAAGTCATTTAAAAAGCAGAGAATGTTGTTAGTTCTTGGGAGTATTTGATTTTAATGTTATTATTACATTAATCTATCTTCATTCTGTGCATTGCTTACTTTTGCACCCTTTTGCTCATGAAGACTTCTTCAAGCGCATTCAAAAATGCAAAAAATGTTCTACTATAGTGACCAGCTAAGTTTAGATGACTCTATATTCTTTGCATGCTCTTGGTTCCTACTGATGTACATGCCTTTATGTATGATAGATTGTATCATCTTCAAATGTTACCTGAATCCCTCTCAATCTACTGGACA